TAATTATGAAATCGCATACGAATTGAAAACTAACATATAAACAAAACAGAATAAACAAAGCAAAATCAAATCAAATGAATCGACAAATCGAAAGAGAGAGAAAGAGAGAAAAATTGTAACATTTTAAGTGAAGAGAAATGTTGAAATACAAAGAATAAGAAGAAGAAGAAGAAGAAGCAGTGCTCGAATGGAATTGAGAATTGTTTATATTTTAAGTGCTATAAGTGTGCAACAATAAAAAGTTTTATGAATTAATTCACTTGTTTCTACTTAATTTCAATTTTTTCCCGTTGTGTGAATTGAGGGCTCTCAATTGGTGGACGGGGCGGGGCAGTGGGAGTAAGGCAGGCGAAGGCCACCCCCAAGATGGAGAATCGGGAATTGAGAATCTTTCGGCTCGATATTTATGGCGTGTTGTTGAAACGTGTCTAATTTTATTCCAGCGAAAGTAATTGTATTTCAATTTATTTATATATTGAATGAAGCTTATGGACTGGCGAGCTGACGATTGATGCCAAATAGATTAACGATATACATGCATATATCTATGGATAATTCGAATGAACTCTAAATGAAAATAAACACAAATTGTTAATACTTCCATGGAAAATCCCATGGATGATTTCATTTGCTGATACAGCTCAAGGTGAATGTTCGATATATTCGAATTATATTTGTTAGGGTATTCAAAATCATGAATAACAATCAAATTTTAAAATATGTAAAATACTTGTATTAACTTAAATTTGAATATCATTCGAATTTGATGACTTATGTGTATACTTTCTCATCACATATTCATCTGCACTTGAGCTTATTTGATATAATGTATATTGGGGCAGTTTGTTTGTCTTATAGTAAATACAGTAGAATCCGGCTATACCGACGCTCAAGGGACCGTCGTTATACCCGGAAGGCGCTATAACCGTGTAAGTTTGCTCATAAAAGTTTGTCTGGGGATCAGAATTTTCGTCGCTATGACCGTAAAGGCGCTGTAAGCGAAGTCGTTATAGCCGGATTCTACTATAAATAAACATAGGTCGGTCTAGGTTCTCCATGAATTGTCTTCTCTCTATGTCTCTTCTGTCTCGTAATATCTCTGAATATTTAAGTTTATCTCTCTCTTTACGTCTCATCTGTCCTCTCTCTCTCTCTCTCTCTTTCGATGCCATTCTTTCTCACTCTATATACCACTTTCTCTCGCTCCCTCTTTCTCTCTCTCTCTCTCTCTCTTTCTTATCAATATATATCAAATCGTACTCCATGCATTCTTTATCTCTCTCTCTTTTCGCAGTCTCTCCTTGCTTATTTCTCCCTATCTCTACCTCTCTCTCTCTCTCTCTCTCTCTCTCTCTCTCCATCTCTCTCTCCCTCGCTCCTTATCCCTCTTCTTCTGAGCTTTTTTCTGACTCTCTGTCTCTTTAGCTCCTCAGCAATACGTTTCTCCATCTCTTGCTGTCTCTACTTATCCCTCTTCTTCTTCTAGACGGCACCAGAATGTCTGAGCGATCTTTTGCCACGCTCCCACACAACACTAAACACATACATCTATATATACATATATATAACTATATATTGCAACAATATGCATGTTGTTTTTTGGACTGACAGAAAGGCGGATAGACTGGCCGACCCATCGACCGACCGTGGGGACTGTTCGAATGGGTGCGTGCAAGGCAGGAAACGTCTTTCAATGGAAATGAAAACGAAAATGGAAGTAGCAATGGAAATGGGAATGGAAATGGAAATGGTAAGGGACTTGCCCTAACCCTATACGCCGCTCCCGTCCCCACCCTAGCTCTAGGAGCTAACTAGCCAATCCACTACCCCTATGTTTGGCAAAGCTGACAAAGTTGCTGTTGTTGTTGCTGTTGTTGTTGCTGGGTGCATTTGCGAAATTTGCATTTTGCAGTTTGCATTTCGCATTTGACGATTAACATTGAAAATGGAAATAGCAAACGACGAACGCCTCTGAATTTATTAATGTTGCTACAACAGTTGCACAATTAAATGCTTGTTAAGGCAACAACAATGTTGCTGTTGTTGTTGTTGTTGCTGCTGCTGCTGTTGGCACATCAAAGCGCGCGTTTAGTTTGACCAAGGCAAAACAAAATGTATGTATGTATGTATGTATGTATATAAAAATAAAATGGCGATGCGCCGACTGAAAAACGCGCAAACATTTCTAATGAAAATCCGAAGACAACAACAGCAGCAACATCAACAGCCACAGCAACAACAACAACAAGAACAACAACAGCTATCGACACCCATTGGTAATTCCATGCACGAGCTGGGAGACTTTCTTGTTTGCTGCTGTTGCTAGTGTAGGTTCGCCAATGCTGCCCCCATGTCTTGACTGCCCAACAGAAATTAATTAGCTGCGACGTGGCATAAATTAGCAAAAAAAAAAAAACAAAACAAAAAACAAAACTGAAAACCAAATCCGAAACATTGAACAGCCGCAGTCGCAGTCGCAGTCGACGCTTAGCTAGCCGCTATCATCTATGCTGCTAACTGTATGAACTATATAGACCATAAAACCAGCGATCGATCGTGCATACAACATGGCTGAGGCAAACATTAATGAGTTAATACATGTTTATTGCCATTGGATTTGCATATTACAAACTGCTTCGACTTCCCAGTCTAAACATAGCTTAAGTACGCCCATTTATCATGCACTTTATCTATCTTTATATATAACCATAGCTTTATCAGATTTATTGCGCTTTATTTATAGAAAATTCTCAATACACTAAAAACTTACTCAAGAGATATATGAGTCTATCAATGTTTATTTGTTTATAATCGATGGAGCCCTTAATGGACAGAAGTTGACAGACGGACAATGCTTTAAATCAGTATACTCTTAGATATCATAGATTGCGTTCAGTGTACTTATTCACCTGCTAATATATGTATGAATTATTTTTTACTTTGTCGAATTTCGCACACTTTTCATGCTGGTTCGTAATGTGATAGGAGTATATTGGGTTTGTGTAATGATCGTACTGTTCGTCTCTCAGTTCTTCCGTTAGATATTTGACATTTGGAGCATATACTCTTTGGTAACTTCAATCTATAGTTGGAAGATACTTTGAATATGCCAACTTGGGGCATGACAAATAAGTTTTGAGGTCATATACCTCAAAGCATACGAAATATATGAATTGAATGAATAACTCGAGTAAAGTTTCAGAGAGTTTCAGAGAGAAGGAAAATCTAAAATGGGAAATCGAACCTGTTAATCTTGTTCTCCATTGTCAAAGGCATATATAATAAACATATCACAATATCCACTTATACATCCATTGTTTCATTGGGCCAGACTGGACAAGAGCTCTACTGCCAATTGGAATAAGACTGAATCAGAATATCGAATACTTTCTCAAAAATATATGCAGAGTAATTGCAGCTCAAAAGGTTCATGTCGGCTGGGCTTCACGCGAGTGGAAGGTGAAGTAGCACAGCAAATGCCAATTGGCATGTGGCATGCGGCATGTGGCAACTGGAACGATACAGTCTCAGCTGCGCTGAGCTATAGTGGCACATGCCAAACTCATTTCGAGTATTTTTAACATGCGACACGCCGTCGTCGTCGTCGTCGGCAGCGACGCGTCGGAGGCAACTGCATTGTCGCAGCAGCTGCCTCAAGATGTGGCTGCAACTTGGCGGCGCACTTGAAACTGATAAAGCGTCGAGTGTCGGACATAAAAAAAAAGAAAAACAAATCAAGAAAGAGAACAGCAGCAGCAGCAGCATAAACGGAAGCGGAAGGAAGTGAAGCCCGATTGGAAATACTAGAACGAGCCACGTGCAATGCTCAAAAGCAGCTGCGGGCGCCAAAGGGGCCATTAATCCATATGCTCAGAGTGATTGGTGCTGTTGTTGCTGCTGTAATATTTGATTGCCAATTGATCGATGTATCGAAAATAGCGCCACGAACGTGTCTATTGAGTGGAATTGCTAATGGCAATGGCCAACGTTTTGGCCACAATATTGCGACGTCCCTGGCCACTGGGCGTGCCTGCCTCTATAAAATATGCGGCTATTGAGTGGGTTAAGGGTTAATGGGGGGAGCGAGAAGGGAGGAGGGAGTGGTGCGGCTAGTTTCCAGTTTCATTCACAAAGCGAAAACGTAACGTCGCCCATTTGACGTTGGCCATTGGAATGCGACAGGTGTCCGCATTTGGGGGCTGCCAATTAGCCGCTGACTCTTGCCTGTTCGCTGTTCGCTGTTCGCTGCTCGCTGCTCGCTGTTGGCGGCGTGGGGCAGGCCAAAATGGGCTGCGAGCAGCGTTTGATACACTTTGCTTATCGATATTACTTGACGATTTTGGCTATTGCGTTTCCGCTGGCCGAGAAACGAGCGAGACACGACGGAAACGCTGGCATTGCAAAATGTGCCGCGGGCTTCTTTGCCATGCTTTGTTTTCAGCATTAAGTCACAGCAGAAACAGAAGCAAAAGCAAAACCAACAGCAACAGCAATAGCAATAGCAACAAGGTCTTTAGTTATTCATACATTGTTTAAATAATTTGAATGCAGCGCGTGAGCCGTTCTGCTGCTGCCCCAGCGGAAATTCGCAGGCATTTGTGAGAGCAATCCCGAAAACGAAATGAAAAACGGATGCTGCACCAGGAAATGATCAACGGGCGTTTCCTGTGGTCCACGCAGCTCATTAGAAAGGCATTTCAACCATTTCCAACAAAGGGGTATTTTCAATTTTCTCACGTTTTGAGTGAAATTCTCCATTGGGCAGAGGGAGAATGTCAGAATGGATT